CTAAAGTACCCTAAATACCCCTCACTTAAATGGACTCTTTAATGAAGTAAAAATAGATTTCTGAATTTCTGCATTTTCGTCGCAAAACAAGTCCGCAACGCGGAGCTGTTCCCTGAAAATATTTGGAATTAAATTTCGAGACAGTAGAGTCCGCATCACGAACTGGATTTTTTCTCCTTGGGGGAGCAAGTGCGCAACGCGCAGCTATTCCATCCAAGTGCAATCTGCAAGCTGCCTTGGCAGCTTGCTTGGCTAAGGCTGGGGTCCTCCTCGGGGCCCCTTAGGGTGGCCCCGAGGCGTCGTATTCAAACGTTTTGACCCTAGGAACATATATTTACCTATTTTAAACCTTTTCACCAGATTATACCATCATACGACACTCCCAAAGCTGCCCAAAACCTAAGGACACACTAGAACACATTCTTCTCTAGTTTCCGTACATCGTGGTCGTTTCTTGACATTTAGACTTTTAATCTTCCAAACCAAGTCAATTACATTACTTTAGGTTTATAAACATCATTTTGACTATTTTTAAGTCATTATTTATAAGGTGAGGCTCTAACTTAAGTCATAGAATTTCCGGGGTGTTACAAATCCAGACTCTGATACCACATGTTAGATTAAATACTTAATACATATCAGGATCTTGAATACAATAATCTTACATAGAGATCGTTAGGGGCACATACCTGATACGGAAGACATCATCACAGAGAGGAGCGGAAGAGTTAGTTGTAAATTTGTTTCTACCTCCTTGCCCTAACCTTACGTTACCACAGTCGTCAACGATGAAATTAATGTAGAGAATATGTGGTAACCCTATTGGGTGGAGGGAGGACCAATTTATAGAGGTTAACACTTAATCTGGTACGTCCATCAAGTAGCCAATGTACGGACGAAATTTATTCTTCATTAAATATTATTTATGTATTACTTGGGTCACAAGTAAACTTGGGCCATAAATAATAATTATTTTTACAATCCCAAAATAGTATAGTGGACAACTATTGTTGAACGGAGGAAGTAATGAACATGTTGCGTAAAAAGCCATGACAACGAACACAATTAGTATAAATTGAAAAAATAATAATAAATAAAACAAAAGGAAAATACCATTGATTTATACTGAAACTACTATTACTGACTTTGAAGACAAAGCTTGGATAAAAATTATATAAAACATGTATACAATTGTATAAATTATGTACAACAAACTAGGACTTAAATTTATTCCAAAACTATAAATGATGGTGTTTTTAGATAATATATATGTTTTGGATAATCTAAAAACTACCCAAAACATATATATCCGAGAAAGCTTAAAATTGGGGAAGAAACTGATTTAAAAATTCAAATATCGGAGCAAAATACAACCACCCCAGCCATGATTTTATTTTTTGAAAACATGTACGATTTGATTATATATGCGCTTCGATAATAACAATTTCTAAGTCAATTGTGAGCATTTAAGTGTGTAATTATTGACAAGAAGAATTCATGGAGTACAATCGCAATGAAACTTTAAATTCCCAAATTGGCCTTTGAAATGATAAATTATATGACTTAAAACACTATTTTCTAAAAAGATTTCCAAAATGTGTTTAAAAATATTTATGACCAAATGGCATGTCATAATTAAAAAATCATTTCATTCAAATGGTGAATTTTGGATGGCTAAGGCTTGACCATACTGTGGAAATTTTGAGGAATAAAAAGGAATCTAGCGATAATGTTCTTTCTTTGTTGACACGATTGAAAGATACATCATGGATTTGAAAGTTGAACATGTCCTGCTCCATCCTAAGCCTTGTCATGTAAAATTATTTTCCTCTTTTAAAATTAAAATTTATTGATATTTGAAATTTATTAATGGAATTAATTCAAATTTACGCTACGTTAAGTTCACTAAGGAATCGTTTGATAGAGTGTATTAGGAAGAATAATGCATGTTGTACTTATTTATTATTAGTACCTTGTTTGGTACTCTTTTCTAATATATGCATAGCTAATGTTTGCATTACTTATACACTCGTTTGGTACAAACATTGATAATGCAGGGATTAGTAATGCAGGGACTAGTAACGCAGGGATTAGTAATGCAGAGATTAGTAGTGCATGAATTTTTTTTCAAGTGTTTGGTTGATTGCTTCCCACTTAATCTTGTGTTTGATTTAAAACTCTACAAAAAAATTCTTTCTTATTATACCCTTGTGTTATTATGAGATTGTTTATTTCATGTAACTGAGTCAAGGTAGATAACCGCCGGACAATAATCTTTTTTTTGTAGGATTTTTTATTTCATTTAACTAGTTAAGTTTTATATATATATATATATATATATATAATATGATGTACCTCTAAGGAGATCCTTGATGGCATGATGTATTTCTAGTTTTTTGTTGGTCAAATATATATATCTTAAACTTGGCATAGATTTCAGACTACTCACATTGTTCAATAGTTAAAGCTTATTAAAAATAAAATAGTTTAACTGGTTAATCGACGAACTACATTGAATGAAAAAAAGGAGAAAAAAACATTAGTGAAATCATTAAATTACACTACGCAAATTTGGAGAATTAAAAAGAACATTGATGATTATTTCAATATAAATAAAAAGAAAATCAAATTACAAAAGAAATTTAGGAAAATGAATAAAGGGATAGTTTTTTCATTTAGGGGTCTTATCCAAGGTTTAACAAACCTTGGATTAGTTATCCCTCCATTTCCTAAGGATAAAATAAGACCACATATGGTGTATAGCAATCCACGAATTAAATAAAATAAAGTAACCAAACAATGTATTAGATGGACTAAATTTTAATCCATGGACTATTCTATTTAATACCGCCTACCAAACGAGTCCTAAGGTGTATATTACTAATACCATGGATTTCTAGGTATTAGCAATGCAATGGATTTAATGCATGCATTAGTATGATTAAAGACTCAACTGTCCCTCAAAATCTTTTTTACATCTTTTCCACCATAATAGTGGAGGGTATCTTTGTTAAAAAAGAGATTTTTATGCAATACATGATATTTTTAATGCATGAAACCAAACAATTGAAAAAAATAAGAGAAAGGACATAAAGTGACATTTGAAGTTTTCCTGAATTTTCAAAAAGACACATTAACTATGTGGGCATCCTATTACCCCACAAAAGTATTAAGTATCGTTGTAAAGAGTACATTTTGACCCGTTTTCTCCCTATGTTTGCATTCACGCAAATGGCGCGCGTGGATGTGAATTTTTTTCCAAAAACGAATTAAAAAGCGCCACGTGTCATTTCCTTCTCTATTATTTAATTACTTCTTCTTTAAATACTCCATCTTCCACAATTCTTTTAAAAAGATCCCATGGTTGAAGGTTTAAACTAAAAAACAATCATCTTCTTTCTTGAATGAAACCAGTCCAAAATGATAAGAACTTTTTAACTTCTTGTAATTTTCAGTCGTCAAGGTTAAATTTCTTCTTAATTTCTTTAAAAATTGAGAAATCAAGTTATCTTTTGTGATTAGATTTTGAGGAAAACATTCTTATAATGTCAAATACAAATCTTGAATCATATTTGTAATGACGAGAATGGTTCGATGTTGTGTGTGATGTGATGCAAACATGAAGACTTACTTTCTATGCAAATTTAGTTGTCAAAGCAAAAATATCTTATATTTTTTTCTCATTTTTTAAAGCTTCTAGTATTTATTAAAATTTAGTTCCATGAGATGGTGAGTCTGGAGCATTATTTCATTATGAAAAAGGGCCACAATTGAAATCCTAGCAAAACCCCAATCCGCAGAACTAAAGAAGCTCAACTCTTCATAACAATGACGGCAAAAATGGACAATTCCAAAAAGTGAAAGTTTACTTCAACATCCGGAGGTAAATCATATCCCAAGAAACTGAAATCATCAATTGAAAAGGTTCTGAAGAAACCCATAAATTGAAAGCAGCGAGAGCGTCCTTTAAAGGCAAAGATGTGTCAATATTTCAGTTTTGGGTTTGCACTTTATTAATATTTAAATTAATTCATTAAAAAGGGGTGTGCATCACTTTCCTATTAGAATTCTTGGGTTGGTGAGAAAATGAGTCAAAATGGTCTATTTACAACGATATTTATTACTTTTGTGGGAGTAATATGACATCCGCATAGTTAAGATGTCTTTTTTAAAATTTGAGACAACTTCAATGGTGATTTTATGTCTTTTCTCTAAAAATAATCTATGTATAATTAATACAAGCATAACTAATACATGCATTGCTAATACACTTTATTTAGTATTATTCTTATACACTCTATCAAACGACTCCTAGTAACAAAATACTGTACTAAAATATTCTCAATTTCTATAATTTGAGAATGAGTTCTCTTCTTGAGGAATTACCTTGTGATATCAAAGAAGCAATTTAGATTGAATTGATTAGGTATAAACCATTGATTACTTAGATCAAATGAGTTGAGTTAATAAATAAACAAGTGATTATTATGAATATGATTGTACCAAATTGGCTTTGAATGCTGAAATGTACCATCATAGTTACTGGAATTGAGGTTAATAAGAACATTATATTTTCCTCTCCAATTTGCAATTGGTTACAAATATTACCTCATGTGACCTATTCCAAACCAGATTAGAATTTATTGGGACCACACTTGCATGTGCCACTTGCAGTTGTTTCTACTCTTCTACGGTTCCCCTTATCCCTCACTTTTGGTACATCACATTTAAGTTTCATATTAGTATAATAATTATTTTGTTAATTTCTATTTAGTTGTTCCCTTACTCCATGCCCAAAAACCAAAAATGCGAAATTAGAATTTTAAATTTATAAGTTAGGTAAAATTGGATAGGCTAGTAGTTTCGGTCGCCTCTTTAAAGAAAAAGAGAGAAATATCAGTTGCTTCAGCCTTTTCTGAGGCCAAAGGAATCTGCATATCAGGTACAGTAACAAATACATACATAGTATATATACAAATATAGAAGTGAAAAAAAGAACATGCAAAAATCTCTTTTCCATTTGAAGAAAAAAGGAATAATGATTCAATGAAATTCAACATTATTACACTATATAGAAGACAAAAATTCAAGGCACCGAAACCAGAAAAAGAAGACGAAAATTTCAAATCTTGTTAGGGTGCTGGTGTGTGAGACACGAATAGAATTAGCGGTGACAAACACATTTGTAGTGGTAAGGACTATTCATTGGGTCATTCCCTTCAACTGGAACTTGCTCTGCTCTGCATTTGTACTTGCATCCTCTGCATTCATTGTAAGTGCAAGTTGGAGCCACTGATCCTATCATCAATCTTCTCGTATTCTTTTTCACCAATTCAAAAAACACAATACAATTGAATTCACAAATTGAACTATAAAAAGAAGAGTAGCAGAATATGTCTTAATTTCAATATCGTACCTCGTAGTAGTGCATCGAACCCTGATAAACCCTTTGAGAATGAGGAATTAATGGTTGAATTCTTGAACCTGCGGGTATAATTGAAATGAAAAGTTATAGCAAAGTATTTGAATGAAAATAATAAATGAATGAATGAATAAATGTGACCTTGTAAGAGTGGTAGTGATGAAGCAAGTAAGATGAAGAGGAAGAGGAAGAGTATAATTTTGGGCATTGTGGAGGCAAAAAATGGGGATAAGTTTAGTTTTGTGAGGGTCAAATAGAGTATTGAAAAGATATGATAGGAAGGGAAAAAGGGAAATATTGTGGCTGAATTATGAGTATAGTCTATAAGAGATAGACTGCCTACTTATTCAGTACTGTCTCAAGTGTGAAGAGCATAACCAATTGTCAATTCAGGTCCCCTACTGACAACCTTCCCCAACTCTAAATACAAATTTTTTATATAAGTTAATTTGACTTGACATAAAAAAAAAAAAAAATTAAATTAAAAAAAAATTGAAATTTATGGTCTAAAACAAGTCATACACATTGATATGAACCGTAAATCATTTCATTAAGAATAAAATAAATATTTTAAAATTAAGTTATTACTAAATACAAAAATATCTTATTTTTTTAGTTAGTCTAAAAAAAAAGTACTATTCAATGTCATGCTTTGCAAATATACTAATAATATAATGCGAGAGAATATCAACAATTTGAAAGATTTTGTATGTTTAAAATATTAGACGAAACAACTTATAAATTTATGTGATGAGTGAAGTTACCTATTGAGAAATTGAATTATAATTACGTGTGGAAAACATATGAATTGGTTGAACAATTGACAAAGGAAAAAGATAGGTATAAGTTATCATGACAAGGATAATAAAATGTATGATCTAAAAAAAATGTGCCTATAATCATGTTATGATTTATTTATTGCCTCCAACATTTATTTATATATATATATTGAAGCACGATGATTTTATATTCTTTGATTTATCGATTAAACTTGCGGCTTAATTACACAAATTTAACTCGCATCTATCTACACCTTTCTCCTTCCCATATATTAGAAATGGTTTTAAATGTGTTTGTTTCATTTATTGGGTTAAAAATGTTCTCAATATATTAGAAATAATTTTAAAATATCCTTTTGTTATTTATTGGATTAAAAGTGTCCTCAGTCTATTACAAATTGTTCAAATTTACCCTCATTCTACTTTAAAAAAAAGTATTTATCAACTATTAAATATTAGTTAATATTCTCACACTTTACGCATATTTAAAATATCTTATTAAAATTTATAAATATAATATATTTATATTATCAATCTATTCTTTAAAGAAAATTCAGCCAAGTGTCAGCTTTTAATTATCTTATTACTATTAACATTTTAGGTATTTATCTTTTTTCCATTAATTTATAATTTTATTCTTTTAAAGCCACTTAGATTTTTGTATAATGTATGTTAATTTAAATATTTTTATTAGCTAAGATAGACATTTAGACAAACAGTGAAGAACTTTTCAAAAAAAATTATTTGCAAATAAAAATGAAACTAAATAATTTGTCAAAGTACAATATAAAAATTAATTATTGACATATACAATTAGAGTTAGAAATATTTTTTGAGTAAAAATATGTTAAAAGGATATTTTTAATCTACTAGGTAGAAGGAAAAATAATTTTGCACCATTTTTAATAAGTTAACATTTTTTGTTCAATAATAAAAGAAGGGATAAATTTGATTTAATAGATTAAAAGAAAAAGATATTTCAAACTCAACTTCGATTGCTTGTTCGAAAAAAGGCCTCTGCCCTTCCATCCCTTGGATGGATAGAGAGGGAGGGTAGAGCTTTTGGTTTTTTTATGTTGTCAAAGAGTTGAACAATGATTTTTTCGTGTTGTCAAAAATTTGAAGATGGTGAGTGTCTGATCGAATTGATCAGGTCATGTAGGAACAAGTCAAACATACGAATAAAAAACTCTACCTAATTAAGATATACCAAAAATAACAGATTGACGACTCTCAAAAACTTTTATCGATGGAGTCATTTCTTAAAACTATTTATAATATATTAAGAACATTTTTAACCTTCTCCCATTAAAAAAAACAAGGCAAATATCAAAAGTGTCGAGAATTAAGGTTACAGAAAGGCTAGGGGTCTCACCCACCAACAAACAGCATCTATAGGAAATTGCTTTATCTATTCTTCTATAATATAATATAATAATTAATGAAACTCCTAGAAGTGTGTAGTGATTATGAAGCACATGTTCAAACTTCACCAGAATCTCTCCTTTATTTTTTGTGTGCTCACTAGAAACTGCAGCTCGCCCAATAATTGATAATTCCTGCTATTTTTATTCACTTTTAACTGTCATAATTTTAATTTTTAGAATCAAACGATAATAATTTTAATTAATATTTGACAATATATTTTTTTTATCATATTAATATGCAAAAAAATAGAATTTATAGTACTTTTCGTTTAATTTTTAAATATTTTAAATTTTTATTTAAAATATCAAATTAATATAATCTAATTTATTTTTAAAAATTAGTAAAATTGACTTTCAAAAAATATAATACATGAACAGATGGATTAATTTACTCTTCATATTATTGACCGACCCAAAAGAAATAAGAAAGTCCACACTTGGGAAATTATCATTTCTAATTATGACTTTGTAGTTCCAAGTCAAAAAATATGTACTTCCTCTTTTTCATACTCCCACTCCCTTCTTTCCCTTTTTAATGGTCTAATTTTGACTTTTTAGTTATTATTTTTGACGTATCAAGAAAATATGATATTTTTATCTATTTTATCTTTAATTTATCTAGAGAGTTCTTATTTTTGAAAAAGATAGAATTTCTTTAATTAGTAAATTAATTTTGGAATTCTATCAATTAATAGGGATAAAATGATAAACCTACTATGTCAATTATTATTTTCTTAATAGGTATGTCAAGTCAACAATGGACAAGTAAATAGGGACAGAGGGAGTATTAACTGAATTTTTGGGGTTCTTTTTATTGTTCAAAATAATTGAATTGTTCAAAGTTCAAGATGGATGTTTGAAATGTTTTTCATATTTACCCTTTCCTTTAATAAATTTGATATTTTCTAGGAGATAAATTACACTACTTACAAAGTTTACAACATGAATTGAAAAATAATCTTTAGTGACAACTAATTAAGAGTAATAGCTTAATTGCTACTAAATGTGTATTTTTAGCGGCAATTAACCCTCTTTGTAAATGTCTCTAAAGCCTATAACGACATTGGATGTAATGACAAATAACTAATGTCGGTAAAAACTTTACCACTCTTTGTTAATATGTATATTTATTGCCGCTAAATTTTTTTTGTTGTTGTACTGGTTATATTTATTTTTTCACAAAAGACAATAGTGAAAAGTATAGTTTAAATTATATATGTCCTTGAATATTTTTCTTAATAAGTGTGCATTTCTTCACAAATTCAATTAATATGGAATAGAAGTGGTATTTAAAGTTGAAACTAGAAAACAAAATAATAATTGAATGGTTGAACATATAGTTCGTTTGGAAAATTTGTGTGAAAATCAGTGTTTGCAATATTGAAGTTTCTCAGTGAATATGCTAAAATAAATGAATTGAAGGGATCAATCTATTTAAGATCTATCCAGTACCATCAATATTGAAGTTCGGTATTTGCGGAGTTTTTTTTTTTTTTAAAAAAAAAAAGCTACAAAAGCGACTACGAATTCACTTTGAATCAAAAAATTAAGAATTTTATTTTCTATTTTTTTTAATTATATCATCTGTGTTTCAATATGATATTAAAGTAGACATCAAAGATCCTCGGATCGGATCTTGCTATATATATATAATCTTTTTTTACCCCTCCTTCCAAGAGCTCCCACCTTTTTGCTACCTTGGTGACTCAAACTAAAAAGTAGAACCTTAAGGTTGGAAGTGAGAGGGTGCTAACTATCCGAGCAACTCTGTCTTGTTACTCTCTAGAGCTTTCAATATCCACAAGGACTTTTAAATTTTGGCGGGTCACAACAAGCTTATTCAGGACAAACTAAAAAATGTTTTCTAAAATAATGGATCTAAAAATGTTAGCTCAAACCTATCAATTCACGAGATGGATTGAACTGGCCCATATTGACTTCTCTAATTTTTTTAGAGAGTGTGGTTAACGAAAAAAAGAATAGAATTGTTGCGTTAGAGTTAATGAATTAGAGAAAAATAAGTGCTAGGTTTTCTACTATAAAGGGAGAGACTTTTTTAATATCATAGTAGGCAGTCATTCTCTTCCATGGAAAACTGGAACTATAAAAAAATTACATTCCAAATGGAATCTGAGGGAGATGAACCCTCCATTCAGCATACCAAACTCAAAAACCATTCTCGATTTTCATCAATTTCAATGCAAGACTCGAGTTCGACAATTGCTAACCTTCCATCAAATTTCATCATTGAAATATACTTAAGGCTTCATGTGAAATCCCTTGTGCAATGGCTCGATTTAATAACTAGACCTAGATTTATCAAGTCTCATATCAGTTTAGCAACTAGTTCTAGGAAAACACCTACCATAGGCTTATGGTGAGGGTTTTTGGGGCCTCGAAAAATATGTCTTATGGATTGTTCTCTTAGATCTTTATTTAATGATTTTATTACAGAAACATCTTACTTGAATATTCTTGTAAATAAACCTTATTAATTTTTTCATATTTTAGGTTCAGTGAATGGATTGATTTTTCTAACTTGTCATGCTGGTGAGAAAGAAGGCGTATTTCTATGGAATCCATCGATTAGAAAGTGCAGGACATTGCCTAGTTTTAAAACTGGACTAATTGATGTATCCTATATGTTTTTATATATGATGAGTTTCATGATGATCATAAAGTAGTAGTCTTTCTATTTAATATGTGTTCAATTCCAGTTGAGGTCAAAACACATAATCTAATGAGTAATTCTTGGAGAAATGTTGATAACAGGTGTCCTCCAAGTGTGTTATTTTATAATGTTTGGGGTAAGTTTGTGAACGGGAAACTTCATTGGGCTTCTACTACTGCTGCTTTTGAATATACGACCATAAATGTTGGTAATTGGAACATCGTTTCTATTGATTTGGCTTATGAGAAATGGGGAAAGGTAGAGAAGCCCTTCTACGGGGGAGGATATATTATTTTCCCACATGAAAGGAGATATTGTTTCACGGCTAGAAGTGTTGGGTAGGAATCTTTTTATCTTTTATAATAACAAGGGAATGCATGTATCTATTTGGGTTATGATGAAATACA